TACTTCCTTGAACGGGTAGTCCTAAGCTAAATATTTTGCTTGAAATCAAGAGTACCATTAACATAGCCAAAACTCTGATTGATTTTTGGTGGGTTAAAAGAACAGCTTAAATATTTCAGTAGTCTTGGACATCTTTAGGCCTGCTAAACCTAGCAATGTTTAATATTAGACCACTGTAATTTTTTTATCTCTTCAGTACAACTGCCATCGGTTATTATAAATGAAGAAACTGGTTTATCAGAAGTGAATTTAAAACAGAAGACTCCTTTGATTATCAGAAAGCATCCAGTTGCCACATCATTTGCTGTATTTGATGAGTAAGTTCATAACTGTTTTGTACTTACGGAAACAACTGTGTCTGTAAAAGTTTGAGTGAAAGACAGAGGATGCTACCAGTGATGCTTCTGGTGATGCTATTTCTAGTGATGAGTGTGCAGCCTCAGGCAGTGCTATTTAACTCGTCTTAAATCCAGGCCTCTCTTGTTGAACTGACCTGTAGTTCTGTGATATGAATGAGTATGGAGAACAAAACATACATAGCTTCTTCCTGTTACTTGAAGCAGAACTGTTCCCCAACCTAAAAGATATGCTTAAAAGTACAGGGTAGGTATTGTTTTAGGTTTTTGTAGTATCCGTGAAATGAAACCATGTTACCAATGCAATTAATGTTTTAGAAGCCTATGTAAATAACTGATATAAAAGATGGTATTTTTTGAACAGCTTATACTAATGATGTAGTCAACAGAGCAAGTAAGAAGTAACACTCCAGTTAGAACATAACCTCTGGATAACTGAAAATATAATTACCCAAGATGAAGTATGACCAGCATTCTTAAGTCATTGTTCGTATAGGAAAATAATCGAATTATGAGATTTCAAAATAATCACATCTGATAATTTACTCTTCACCTGAAATTGTTTACTGGCTCTTCATTAGTCCAAGTATGTTAAGGATATTTTCTGCTGCTGTTTAGAAGAAATGCAGTCATTTCTGGTGGCATCCATTTGAAAGCAGAAAATGACAAGAAGGACAGTGCTCACTGCACTATGTAAGATTTAGCTCTATTTAGAGATATCCATGATTTATGGCACATTAATCTGTATTCACAGAAGTGATTAGCAGAGCCTTTCACTCAAATAAGAGATAGGGTGGGGAAAGCAATTAACTCAAATGTTGACCAAGTGATTACCAAAATGAACCAGAACACCATTTTATCAGTACTTTAGAGTGCCTGTGTTAATTGCTTTAATACCAGTTCTGATGGGTCTGAAGTTTGATGTAGACTGAAAGTGAGAGAGGTTGGGTAACATACCAGACAGACACACAAATCACACTTACTTACACACAGATGAAAAAACTGCCTTTGTAAGAAAGCTTTCCGTGCATGTCTCGGGCTTTGTTTCCTTCACCGAAATCAACTGTTGCATCAAACAAGCTACTTAAGTCTCCCTTGAGCTCCTAAAACTAAATATCGAGGGGGTGTGTGCCTATGTTGTGTGGTTTGTTTAATTCTCATTTATTAGTTCTACAGCTGTTAACACAGCCCTCTAAATAAAATGCTTTACATATTCTGCTATTCAGAGGCATTTTTATTCTTTATAAAAGCCCTCCTTAAATAAATAAAACTTGTAGGTTACTGGATAGTGCGGCCATGGGTGAGGAGCACTGGTGCAGAATGTGGTGCAGCTCCACAGCTGGCTCCTGGGGTGTTGACATGTACATAAAAAATAAATGATGCATTGAACTCTTCACATCTCCCTGCATCACACAAAGGGCTGATGTGTCACAGTGCATGCAGTAAGACTTCAAAAAGCAGCATTTTTGAACAGCGTAGCTAAGGACTTATGTTTTTGTTACTACTGCTATTAAATGGCAATCTGAAATATTGGTGAGGTTTTAAAGTTCAGCTTTAAGTTCAAGTTTTATTTGTTGAACAAAGTTGGCTTATAGTTAGATCCTCTTTTTTTTTCCATTGATTTTGCTCTATTTTTAACTTAAATGGCTCAAAAATAAGAGTATTTAATCTCTCAAAGATATGCATCATGTGATGTATGACAAATTTATTTTGGATGCCTTAAGGACAGTCAAACACCCTGTAAATCCATTTTTTTAACCATTCCCAGGCTGAGTGATATTAGAGTTCTCTGACAAGAAACTGAGAACTACTTTGGTGAACTTACCATTGGAAATGAGTTTTGCATTAAGGTGGAGATTAGTGCAGCCTACACCCTGTATCAGTCTTCGTGTAACTACAAAATAAGTGACTGCATCCTTCAAATGGTAGTTTAGTGGCATTTTCCTCCAAGACACGGATGTCACAAATCTAGGAAACTTCAGGCATAAAGCTGCATTTTCAATAGACATATGCACTTGATTATGTGGAATTTCCCATATTTTTTGACTTTTTAATTTTTTTAAAATTGGTGCACTTTGCTAAGAAAACAGGTAAGCCTGGGCACTAAATCCAGCTGCAAGTATTTTGTAAGACTACAGTAAAAATTAATGTTACGTGTATTTTGCAGTAATGTTAATGAAGCAATATGTACAAACATGTCTGCATGCATTTTGCTTTCACAAGCACAGTACTCATTGTTGATCCGACTGCTGAAGAAGAAGATTTAGCAACTGGAACAGTCACCATTGTCACTGATGAAGAAAGCAGATTATGTTCTGTCCATAAACCAGGTACTTCCAGACTTATTACAAAGAAACCTATGGAGATGATAATGTTTAGGTCAAGAAAAGACTATCTGCTTTGTTTTGTAAGATTTGGGTGCTTTATAGTAATGGAGTGCCTGTTCAAGTACTCATTAAATTACCTGCTCTTGAAAATAGTTTTTAAGATGGTGGCATGACTGAAGTTCAAAAAGAAGTCACAGCTTGACCTACATACAGTAGAGGACAGATATTGAGCATGTCTCCTGTTACAGCTCTAGTTTGTTTCCGTTATCTTTGCCTGAGGCTGGAGCTGGGAAAGCTGCATGCTCCCTATGAAAGGTGTTGCTCATAAGAATTACTGTGTTAATACTCTTATTTGGAAATCACATTTAGAGATACATAACTGAAGTATAAGTAGAAAATCAAATTGTTCCCTTTAATTTTTAGGTGGAAGTCTTCTTACAAGAACCAAGCTTCAGGACTGTATCACCAGAGCAATTACAAGACACAAAGAAGTAAAGAAGCTGATAGACAAAGTAATAAAAAGTATAATGCCCAAGTGAACAAAAGGAGAGAGCTTTTCAAAAATGGATTTGTAAAAATTGTATTTGTTACAGTGTTCACAAACCTTTTATACTAAATAAACAAATACCAATACTACCTTTACAAAGTTCATTTTTTCTAAAATGTTTTTCACCCTATGTACAGAGCTGTTGAGTGGTAAAAAATACAAGATAAAACATTCTGTTAAAAAATTGACTTAAGGAAACCAGATCCTAGCTGCTTTATAGATGGAATTTCTAGGTTCTGTAGGGCTGGCTTCCAAAATCAGTTCATTTTTTTAGTGTAATGTCAAAAGTTAATTTTCCCACCAGTAATAAAAACCACTGATTTAACTTTAAGCTTTCTCCTTATTAATCTGAAAAAAATCCCCTTTGAACCAATTTTTTGGGGAGGAGGCAAGTCTCATGATTTTGGAGGGGCCGGTGTGCCTCTTTTCCTTTTACTTTTTGAGTGGCTGCCTGAATGCTGTTGATGATGCAGGTGAGCTGCTTGTGCTGCTGCCGTTGCCATAGCCATTTGATGCTGCAAGAATCGCAACTGCTGCCATGAAGGAGAAGGGGGAGAAAAAGCTTGTTAGTGTTGACTATAAAGCTTTCATGTCAGGAAGAATGAGAGGAAGGTGGGGGGGAGAGGGGAAGGTAGAAAAATGAGGAAGCACCAGGTTGACCAAAGGAATACACCATGTACTGGGGCAGTGGGTACAGTCAAGCAGCACCAGTGGCACAGAAACCTGCTGAGGGCACAGCTATCATTTTATATGTGTATGTGCCCAGCCTTGTTTCTTTGCCCTTTCTCTCCATTGCAGTAACTTCAGTAACTCAGCAACTTCTGTGAATATTTAGGTCACATAGCACATTTTTAACATATTACCTTCTCAGTGTATGCATCGCATGTATTTTCTGTACAAATTACAAAGAGGGGACTGTGTGCTGAAAAAATATTAAAATATTTTCATAAAGTATCTGGATGACAGAATGGTAAAAGGAATGCTTCGTAGAGCTGTTGCTTCCACATGCTGATTGTACCAGTGCTATATTTGAACTTGCAGGTGCTTACATTCATGCCATTTTAAAATCTATTGGCATCTGGCAGAGCTGATTTAGATATGTGCCACAAGCACCCCTTGAATGTTTTCGTATCAGGAAGGTGGATGGCTTAAATGAATAAAAATAAATTCAGTGCTCCAAGCTGAGATAACCACAGATTATAAATCTTGCATGATGGTTTGCCAAATTCATGTTTGTTTGTTTTTTGTAATTTGTGAGACCATAGTGACATTAGTTAAAGAAGTCAAAAGGGCAAGATTTTTGATTTTGGAGCCAAGAATTGTATTTTTAGTTTTTTGGTTTGTTTGTTTGTTTTTTAAACACAGAGTGAAGTTGCTGGATTACTTGTATCTGTTGCTGCTGCTGCAAGGCTTGTTGTTGCTGTTGCAAGCCAGAAGAGAGCTGGAGTCTCTGCTGAGGAAGGCTTTGCCCAGGTCTGTTCATGGCAGAGCCAAGCTGAGACAACACTGAGAAAGGAGAACGGGAAAGCAGGCTGGTCAAAGAGGTCAGGTTGAGTTTGTCAGGGTGGGGGAAGGAAGACATAGGAATACAGTGTAACACAGGAATACAGGAAAGGGGGATCCATAGAATTAGTTTCAGAGTCAAACTGGAAACAGTGCAGAATAAGGTATACATGCTATACATACTCTGTTAGAACATAGTTAGATTATGAAGTGCTTGTGGAGGCACAAAGAGGTTTCTCACAGTGGATGTTAAGCACAGAGTTAAAGAATTATTCCTCAATGAAGTCTGGCATGGAAGTTGCCTGCATTTTCTTTTTGTATTAAGTGTAGCTTATTTTCGTGTGATACAATCAATTGACTGCACTTAACTGCCGAATAAAATAGAGAAGTGCATGCGTTAAAGGTCCAGTATTTCTTGTGTAATTCACATGCTGATAATCATTAAATTGTTCTGATCTAACACATGACTTCTTTAAGACCAAACTTCATTTCAGTGTGAATTTATCAATATACACATTTAACTACAAAAGGAGGCTCAGCAAGCACATACCTGTGGCTTGAGGTTGCATAAAATTCCCTACTCCAGTCAGGTTAATTACAGCAGCTTGTTGGGCAGATAATGCCTGATCTTGATTGGATGGACCTTGGTCAGACCCCTAGCAAAAATGAAAAGCTTGATCCTTATTACCAAACTTTGGTATCAATGAATAAGCAAACAAAGCCAGTGTGAAGGCAAACTTTTGAAGTGCCATTTAAAAACATTTAATGCTATGTCATCCAGTGCATGTAGATGTAGCAGTCACTACAAGTAGAACAGATGCTGATTGCCCCAAAACAGCTTTATTTTGGCAGAAATGGTACTGCACCTGTTACCCTGCAGAAGTCCCATGTAGTTGTCAACTTCCTTCCCTGCAGTCTAGGAGAGACTGCACTTTATGGTTGTAATCTTAGGACTATTTCCTATCCTACTCCCAGCCCCAGAGTCTTCAGGTGACCCTGAAACCATCCATGTGCAAAGGTCCTAATCAATCAAAGTGTGCAAAACCTGACACTTTACTTTCCCATGCTCGTATTGTGCCACACGGTACACCTTAATTTCATAAAAAATACAAACCCTGCTTTTAAAATTATATTTTCAGAACAGAGTAGTTCTCAAGTAATCACTCAAATGGAGTAAGTGGAGTCTGACAGTATCTCGTGAAGTCAAAGGGTGCTGAATAATGACCTCTTCTAGAACTTAAATTATGCATTGATTTAGAACATAGGGAAATAAAGCATTATATTCACAATCCAAGCAAGCTGCATGGCTTATCAGTCAGATAAAGAGCTGGTGCATTCCAGGATTTGTGATGCTTTTTAACATAACCGTATGATATAATGCCACTAAGATCTAAGTAAAACCATACCAAAAGATTGCACATTAAGAAGACACCATCACCTCAGTGATGACTAAGACTTACAGAATCATAGAACCACCATGTGGGGAAAACCCTAAGAATGACATGAGAATACATATATTCTGTTGGTAGCCACGAAAATTGTTGGTCTTTTTGGGCTTAGTTTGTTTCCACTAAGCACTATACACCATAAAACATCTGAGACAGGCATCTTGTTTATGAACAGTCTACAGGAACACAAGTGAAATTATTATGACAAACTTCAGTATCCAGTAGAGACTATTTGGTAAGCAGAAGTCTTGCATGTCTGGGAAGACGAACACAAAAGCAGAGCAGCTAGTTTTCCCAAACTGCTGCATCAGTGTTGGTAAAGATTTTTTAGTGCAGGTAGAACTAACCACTCAAAATTTGTCATTTTGATAAAAGGTCTCGAGAACAAGACTTTAGACGTTTTCAATGCTTAAAGCCTTAACACCAATTACAAGCAGCAGTAGAGCAAATGCCTTAAGATTACAGCATTAAAGCCAACTGATACTTCCTTTGGTGCAAAGAAAATTCTGTTGAACTACAGCAGTGAGGATTGTAAGCCAACTCACAGCAGTGTAAGTAGGAAGTTTTAGTTAACTCTGCAAAAATCCTGACAGCGTTTTTTTCTCTGTTCATCTGATGTATCTGCTAGTTATGATAAACGTTAACACTAAGCTGATTTTACACCACTCATACAGTAGGCTGGCTCTCTTCATGATAAGAGTTAGACAATGCTCAGCCAGTTGTTTTGTTACAGCTCTTCTATATAGGACACAAATAAAGGAGTATAACCCAGTTAGCAACAGAGCCACTGCAGTCTTTGCTGTTTGAGAAGATTTAGGAGGAAGACTTTCCTCCCCCTCTGCTACAGATCTGTTGGGGAAAGGCTCATTTACTTGTGAAGATGGGGAGAATAGGAGAAACAGTTTCATCCATGCACCCCAGACTGAGGGAGGTTCTCCCTGTTGCTGAGGACTACAGGTTGTGGGCTGCTGAGATTGTTGCTGTGGAGAAAACTGTGATAGCTGCTGCTGGAGTGGGTTAAAAATAAGTGAACCACCTGGAAGCTGCTGAAGATTAAAAACAAAAGGCATAATTCAAACTGCTGAGTTTCCCACTGTTCTAGGATGAACATAATATTGATAATGACATACTCCCTAGAGGTTTGTTTTTTGTTTTGTTTTTTAATTCCTTTAAAATCAATAAGTTTACAATTGCTGCTGTTTGTGAAAAAGTCTTATGTTCTGAAAACAAACCTGTGTGCAATTATAGAGAGATATGTCCACAGAAAAATATATTTTAATTATTCTAATTAAAACAGTATTGTACTGATACTGAAAATGTAAATGTTAGCCTTCAAAAGCCCTGCATATTGTTTCCACTTTCAGAACATTCCACTGGATTTTAATAGATAGTGAGACGGCCTTGATTCCTCTCCCTTACCCCAGCTTTAATTGCACTGATTTCAGCCAAATATTCTTGGTGTATATGGGTGGCAGAGCTAGCTTGAAAGGATGTACTTCAATGTGGAATCACACAAATACAAGCATTTAGATCTATAGAAGTGCTCTACTCTGGCATAATTGCCTCCTGTGCCTCCCTTTTCCATGTTTCTGGAGTATGTTACAGGAGTGGGAGAAGGAAGTGGCAAAGCTACAGCTGTTCTTTCACTGGTAATAATTTTTTGAAGCATGGTGCAACACACACGGAACACCGTAGCTGCAATTCTGCACCTGTAACTGGCAGCTGACTTCAAGATCCGGAAACGCCAGCCAGTTCCACAAACAGTCCCTGTTCTGCTTTTAAATGCAACTCTGACATAATAAGCAATATTCTGCTCATGTTTATATTTGTATGTATGCTTAGTGGAAAGAAAGCATTTACAGACATTCGAAATTCCCTATCCCACATGAGCTTCTATTTCCATTACCAGAAGCTCTTTAAACCTATTACTGTACTTACCTGGGCATGCTGAGCTCAGCTTTTAGGCATTCTATGTGTAACCCTCGAGTGATTCTACTGTACTGTTTTGTACAGTATAATCATAATTTCAGTATAGAGAATGATTTGCAATAAGATCTTAGGCAAA